TTATATATTTATGAAATAAAAAAGGCAATAATGTTTCTAATAGAAAGATGCTATTTAAAAAAAAAAGTTTTCATGGTTCCATGGTTATATTTGGTAGCATATTGAAAGACAGTTGAAGAGCTTTATTTTATTTGTTTTTATGCTTGTTTGTCATTTTCATCCTTTCTATATTGTGTACCTTTATCTCTCAAAATTTAAAAAATATGCAGCAGTGACTGTTTATCTAAAGCTTTTGCAATTTGTTATGTCAATTTACTATAAAGAGTTTGATTTATTTTGTAAATATGCAATAGACTCCTAGAAAATACTTTTTTATATTAGATGACAAAATATATATATATATAGTCAATTAACCAAACACCATGCAGGCATTAGTTTATCTTTGACAACAAATTGAGAGGTTATTCCTATATTTTAGGTTTTGACCTTTCTGTTGAGCATCCACACACATATGTAGTCAAGTGTGCACAGATGGTAAAAGGTCAGTAACATTTAGTTTGTTTGCTTATTTTTTAGTATCAAATACCCGTCTCATAAACTTCATTGAATAGTTTTGAAAACTGCTCATTTTCTCCTTTTTCGCGTGCCACTGGCAAAGTTTCAAAACTGTGTCCCAGTAAAATGAGAAACTGAAACGTAAGATTTTGAGTTGACCATCTTAAAACCTTGGCACAGTTTGATTATTGCAAGATTGAAAATCAGATTGAAATTGAAAGGGAAATTAAGCTTAAGATGGTTGTTTGAAGTTTAAAGATATTTTCCAAATTCAAAGTTTCTTCAAAGTCAATGCCCTACAGACTTGTTTGCCTAAGCTACCCTGGTTTCATGAATATATATATATAATGAAGATATATAGTATATATTCAATAATTCAAAGATGGGTATATATTTAAAGGAGGCGGTGTGTTCATGGGATAGATGGGGACAAATATCTTTGAATATTTGATTTATTTTGTTGCAGCTGCCAAAGAATTGGCTCAGACATCCTATTTCCTAGCAACAAATTGGTGAGAGTCCCTTCTATTGGCTTCCAGTCGGACCTATTTGTTGTTCAATAGCACTGATTTGTAATGCAAGAGTATTAGGATATTGATTTGTGGCATGTCTTCTCAAAAGCCTGCAGTGGCAAAGGATTTTGACCTGTAACAAATTTGTCAAATATACTTATTTATCTGCTTTAAACAGGGCTCATTAGAGTAAGAAGCTTACAGACTTTAATTTTCATGTGTTATGCTATGAATAAGTGGAATAAGCTTTTTGCTGCAGAATTTCAGGTTTGTGCTCAAAAGCTAAAACATCTGATATCATTCTCAAACACTTTTCATTCAACACACTTCATGAAATGTTTGATAATGACAAAGAGGTGCATGAAAATGGAAATGATTATTTGAGTGCTAGATTTGTTATTTTGAGCTTGGAG